ACAGATTGCAATGTCTCACACAAAGCCCAATAGAAAATAAATGAGAACCAGGAAGCTCAACTCAATAGTCAAAGCTTTTAGTGCTGTTTGATGAGTGTTCAGCGCCAAACAGAGTTACAAGTCTGTCTCTTATACACATCTAGATGTGTATAAGAGACAGGAGGAAGAGAGAAGGAGAGGAGGAAAGACAGCAAAGTGAAAAGAGGTAAGGTAAGAGTAAAAAGAAAAGGGAGCGAAGGAAAGTGGAGGGAGGGAGAATATAGGGGAAGAACATAGGGAAAGGGAAGCAAAAGTAGGAAGGGAACGGAAAGGAGAACAATGAGGGAGGCAGGGAGGGAGGGAGGGATCAAGGAAAAGAAAGGAGGAAGCAGGAGGGAAAGCGATGAAGGAGCACAAGCGAAGGGATAATAGAGGAAGGATGGGAGGCAAAACGGAGAAAAAGGTAGGCAGAAAGCTCGGGGGAGGAGGCAAAGGAAGGGCAGAAGTAGGAAAAGGATAAGCAAAGAAAGACGAGGAAAAAGAAAAACTTCCGAAAAAGTATAGAAAGGAGGATGAAGGGAAGCTTGGGAGGAAAGGTGTGAATGGAGGACGAGGGGGCAGAAGCTGCAGGAAAGGAGAAAGATGCTGAAGGTGTAGAAACAATGCAAACCTCCGCATCTAGGAAACCAATAGTGCTGTAATGCCAATCCCTGGTTATTGCATGAGCCCAGACCATGGAAGCCTTACAGAGATCGTATATCAGGACCGCCTGCTAGCATGCCCCTTGTCAAAGTTTTTTCTTTTTCCTTCTTTTCAATCCTGTCATCCTTGCAAAGGGGCCGTGCAACTCTTCTCTGTATCCTTCCAATTGTTTAACGGATGTCCCGAAGGACACCTTACGAAAGTTTTGATTTGGAATTACAAACTACTAATTACAAATTACAAATTACTAATTACTAATTACTAATTACTAATTACTAATTACTAATTAGTCTATTACAGAAAATGGTTTACGTTGACCAAACTCGTGAAGAAAAGGATAAAAAGGAAATTGAGAAAGGGATAGAAAGGGAAATAAAGAAAGTGATAGGTCCCCGGCCTCATATATGCCTTTGGAATAAAATTAACCTTTCTAAAAAAAGAAAAAAAGAAAAAAAAGTGACACAAAAGAAGAGGAGAATGTGAACTTGTGGGGGGGAGAGGAGAGGGGGGGGGGGGGTCCTTACATTTGCATTAATTCTTCTTGCAGTAAGTACTGGTGAGGTCTCAGTCAACCCATAGCCATTTAGGAGCGGAAGCCCGATTATAATCTAAAAAAAAAAAAAAAAAAAAAAAAAAAAAAGCAGCAGTGAAAAAAGCAACAGGAACTTCAGGAAGTGCTTCACGTGAGAACGACACTTACTATTTTTTTAATTCCCCCCTCTCCCCCCCCCTCAATTTTCCTTCCATCTTGTCTTCCTTCGTCTTTCCTAAAACCATCACCTAGCTGTGAGCGTTGCCAGCTTTGGACATTTTATGCCGCATCAGGGCATTATTATACTCACACTGGCACTTTTTTTCTTATTTCTGGACGGAATTGCGGCCAGATGCATACTGGTCAAAGCCGTAAATGTGGTCTGATACATTTAAATTTTAAAATAGTCCTAGTGTGTGTATGCCTTCACTGCGTTATCAACTTATCACAAGTTATCAGTGTTATCACCTCAAAAAAACAAAAAAAAATCCTAAAAGCTTGCCACAAGCATTAAACCCACCAGAACCTCTCCCAGGCAAACTTTTTGTGACAAATTATTCCACCAACGCATTCTTCAGATGAACAGTGCTACCGGATCCGAATGTCTGGTGGTGACAGCCAAAAAAGAAAAGAAAACACACCCCTCGCAGTTCGTTTTTCTTCGGCACGCAGTGCAAACCTGCATCAGGAAAAAGAGGATCGGAGGTACTGGTGGTTTTAAAAAGAAGTTGTAACAGAGAAATGCCAATAAAAATTATAAAATTATAAAACTATAAAAGCGACTAACCATAGATACAATCAAGATGGTAAGCAGAGAGTGCACGCTTTGTGACTTGCAGATTTTCTCAGCAAAACCATGAAACTGTGGAGTCTGGACAATGATCATTACCATAGAAGGCTTAGATCCATCCCTGACAATGCATGGGATCGAACCAGTGACCACAGCCTTAAACCACCAGTACCTCGCCCACACATCGGCCGCGGGCACCTCATTGCGACATCGTCCACCGATGAAATTCATCATGGCGCGATCCGGCCCCAAAAAAAAGCTGCATCTCTGAAAAATCGCTGGGAAAGGTGCTGGTGGTTTAAACCGCCAGTACATCTGAGCCTCTTTTTGCCAAGGCGGATTTCCCCTGCGCACCCGAAAGGAAGAACCGCCAGGGCGGCGTTTTGTTTTTCTTTTGACGGGCGTCACTAGCCATTTTTGTTCAGTAGCAGTATTCATCCAAAGAACCTGGATTGTCGCGCATTTTCGGTTCTCGACATTGCCTGGGAAAGCCACCAGACCTGACCAGTTGAGCCTAACGAGGCCAGGTACCACACCACTTTCTGGCCGTCCAGCAGGGGGAAATCTGGGCCTATAGCACCCAGTATTTCAGGAAAAGGCCCTCCCATGCAGTGGTGGTTTAAACCACCAGTACTTGCCCCAGCTATCAGCCGCGGCGCATTCCCGTTAACGCGCCGCGCCTTTAGGGCTTCGGGGTACCGGACCACAATGGCTGGAAGCGCCAGCCAAAAACATTTCGAAACGGTACCCCGGCGCTTCGGCGAAAATTGGGGCATTCCAGGCTCGGCATCGATAGCTGGGCCAAGTACTGGTGGTTTAAGAGCTGAGGATCTTTACCACTGGGCGATATGATGCCATGTAGGAAAGTGGGGCTATACCAGTTTTGACATCCAAGCGGCCCCCGCATGGCTGCACTACCCAACCGGAACTCACTTGTTCGCACACACGTCACTGCTTCAGGCCACGGTCTCCAGACGCTCCGACAACACACAAGCCCCTCCTATTCTGGGGGCCGTCAGTCCCGTTGCTTGTTACAGGCAAGCAAGAGTACACTCTGTCTTTCCAGCACCTGATTCTTTTTCTTATTCTTCTTTTAAGGTCGTGCAGGCTAAGCTGTTGGCAGGTCCTACCCTGATGGGCCCAGTTTTATAATCACTCCCGCGACACACCCAGGGCAGAGTAAAGGGGCATTCCAAGGCGGGAGACTCCCAATGGTACCCAGTCCCTCAGCGACCCTCCCCCCCACAACTGTGTATGTTGTAAGCACAGCCAGCAGGACGCTCAGCGGGCAAGACCCCCCATACAACACCTACACAGCCTTGCGACCATCCCCCCATGGAGTACCCGGCCGGGGATGCAAATGCGCCGGAGTCCAATATGGCAGATTCTGATCGCGGGCACTCATTCGAGCCAGCCAGGACTCGAACCCGCTACGGTGGGGCTAAGACCGCCTACATCAACTGAAACCTGGTACAGTAGCCAGGGAGTACACTGTGTACTGAATCCGGATAAGTACCTTCGACCTTGAATCCCTCCATGACAACGCAGAGAATCGAACCGGCAACCTCGGCCTGTAAGTCTCCATGCAGTGGGGGTGATGGCAACGACAATAAGCCGGGTCCGAGCTCCATAGAAGTTTTTGTCCCAGGTTACCCTCAAAAGGAGAAGGGGGATTTTCTGCCAGCATCTGGCATAGGGAAATGTTTTGAATCTTTTTTCAAAACTTTAAAACCCCTCTAAACCCTGTCTATAACCAGTGGAACCCCCTTTGACCGTCAAGACATTGTTTTCAACTTTTCAGAAATAAGCTCATATTTGTGCTCTAGTTGACATGCACAAAATCGACAAATAAAAGATCTGAAAAACTGTTCAGATTCTTCAGAAACATAAATTGGATTTTTTATTTTTTTTTATCATTTTTCCAAGTTGCCCAGATTTCCTGACATATCCGACCTGACATATGGACCAGATGTCTGAATCCAGTCAGCCTCACCGCCTTAAGTTTTTTTTTTTTTTCTTTTTTTTTTTTTTTTGAAGTTTTGCCCCCTCTCTCTCTCTCAATTTTTTTTTAATCTTTTTTTCCCCTCTCTCTCTCAGTCAGGTGAAGTTAATTTCAAGTTCCTTATTTAGAAACTAAAATGATAAAATCAGATAGGATCATAGGAAAGAAAAACTGCTTCTCCTCGTTTTTTTCCGTCGTTTTTTCAAAGTTATTTTTTTTAAAAAAAAAAAAAAAAAAAAAAAAAAAAACTGCTCATTCTTCCTCCACCACCAACACCTGCACACGGAACTTTATCCCAAATGCCCTGAACCCTAAACCCTAAGCCTCAAGGCTCAAACACAGTATCGAGAATTGAAGGAGAAATGAGCACTGGATTTCTGAAGCGGTAACCTCATAGCAGTCCACTGGAACTTTGGCCAGCTGCATAGCAAAAATGGGCCAACAGGGTCATGATATCTTTGTACCACCAGTGGGGCTTGGCCCTTTGCCAAAGTGGGAAGAAGATCTACCTGGAAAAATTCATCCACATGGGGTGCTAGACTTCCTCCACCACTGATTGCAACCTGAACGATAGCACCAAATAAGACGTCAAAACGGAGATCATGTCAATAACAAAACATTAACCACAAAAAAATATATATATATCTTGAGGAAAAAAGAAAAAAAGGACGGTAAACAGGGTCGTACAGCTCTGGCTCCATAACCATTGTGTGGAGCGTCAGTCCGGTTCCTATTGCACCGGCAAGTGAAAATACAAGGTACAACTCACTGCAAACACTTCTCCCCTTTATGGTAGGGAGACTGGAGTGGGCGGCATTGATTACTTCCAAACTTGGAAGGATGTACCTCCCCTCACCCTTGCCTAAGTTAGTCTGTTGCTATTAGATCATCCATCTCCAATAACTACCTTCTTCTCCCTTCAATCGATAATAGAGGAACGAAGCGGCCAAATGCGGGAATGGTGGAGGAGGTGTCTGCTCTTATCAGCACCTCCCCCACACCCGTCGTCGATGTTTCTTAAAAAAAAAAAAAAAGGTTTAAAAAACATTATATTATAATTGTTATTAAAATGAAGGGAAAAGAAAACAATGGAGATGCTCAATAACGTTGATGTCACTCCGATAAGGAAGTAGAGAGGCATGAAGTCACAAACTCTGCACCAGATCAGCATTTTCCAGACGTGTATAACCAGTGTTGCATACCCCGACAGTCGGCGCCCCTTGACTGGTCGGCTGCCGACTAGCCGACTGGTCGACAGGTCGGCACCTACCAGTCAGGGATCGTCGGCACAAACACCCCAATACCCTCATACACCCCCCCAACACCCTCAAACC